TCAAAAATGTATTAATGGACACCGTTCAAGATTATATACAGGCACAATCTGCTTAAATCACTTGAGTCGGTACAATTCTTGCCGACATCGGAGGTCAAAGAAGATGTCACAAGACGGGTTCACGAGATTTAGAAACTCTACGAGGATTTAGAAAATCTATGAGGAGGTTGACAAGGAGATTGTCAAGCAGAACCACAAATATCAAATACAGACAAATAAGTCTAGAAAGAAGGTGTCTTCTAAGAAGACTACCTGTGTGGATTCAATTAAAGAAGGAAAGATTTTCTTGAAATATGCATTTGCATTAATATACAAAAAATATACAAAAGCAATGCATGTATGTGTCTATGATGTACAAAAAATGAGACATGTCTTCTACAAGTATAGAGGTAAAATTTTATGTGGGAGCAATTAAGAAGCTTAAGCTAGAGCAGATGGACATTTCAGAATACTTTCGTAAGCTGAATGATAACAAATACAAGATTGCTCTGTCAGATTGGCTACAACGCTTCAACCATTTTCAATTTTGCGGAACTGTTCGACCTCTAGAATGGGACAAGGGGGGATCTGCTCTCACCACACTCTTACCCTTTCCTTTTTTGTTTCCCTCCTATTTCCTTTCCTTTTCCATTACTCTCCTTTTTTATCTTTTCTCTATTTTTATGTCCCTCATTTTCTGTCTCTTTCTTATTATAATCCTTACCTATTCTACTTACTAATCCCTATTATTTATATGTGGTGTTTGCTTAGGTTAAAGGCGATTGATTGATTACTGAATTCAAAATTCTGCCGCCAGTGTTCTTCCTTTCGAGGGCTGTATCTGACAACGACAATGTGCTCCTACTGTAACTTGTTCAAAGTGGTTACTATCTTCGCTATTCCTCCGCTTCTTGCTATCACCACTTCTATTCAACTCTTCCAGATTGCTGCATACCCCTTTCCGCGCTTCCAAATTGCCGAAGACTTCATTCAGTGCTTCTAGATTGCCCCAGGCTTCTTCCTGCGCTTCCAGCCTGCCGCATGCTCCTGCACGCACCTTCAGTAGACCGGAGCCTCCCTTCTGACAGTCGTACCTGACTGCAGATTTCTTTCTGCATCTCCTTGCAGTCCGTCAACCTCTCTTGCCACTACCAGCACCTATTCACCTGCCGCCACACTCTTTGAACACCTCTCAATATTCGTCAGTATGCTGACTCCTCCCTATACTCTCCCGCAGGCCGCCGACTCCTTTTGGCACTTCCAAGCCAACTGTCATACTCTTTTGCATCATTTCTGTCATGACCTGACTTGGAGATTAGAATTAACCAAGACGGGTATAGATGTTCAGACGGTGTGAATTAAGTTTTTTATATTAATATACAATTTAACAATTGAAAAAACCACTAATCAAATTAAATTAAAATAGTACAATTAGAATTATCTCATTAATGGTTGTTCGCATCTTCTATAGTCATTTTTTTTTATTACTTATCTTTTAATTCACTTAACATTTTTAATTTAAAACAACTGTGAGCTAAACGAATCATTGAATATTCATACTCATAAATTACAATAATATAAGAGAAAATGAAGCAATATGCATGCTAGTTAAACTTTTTAATAAATTAATATAAATATTTGATAATATTCAAAGTGTCTTTATATTATCATTATTATTATTATTATTATCTATATAACTGTCATAGGAGTACCGTTTAAAAATTATGTCAATTAAGACACATCGATATCAATATCTTTTTTTATACACGTGCATAACTTAGTGTTCCCTCACTATTACTATTAAGGAGTGACTCCATCATAGTCAATTATGCACATATAAACAGTCAATATAAGCATCTCATTCGTGTATTTGTCACATTTATTTAAGTATACTATATAAAACATACGTTAAATACATAAGTTTAAGTAGCTAGAATATTCATTACAATATGATCGATGAAGAAAAATATCTCAAACAGAATAAAATATGTGCATGTGTCATCAACTGCAAAACATTGTGAAGAAACAAATTATTACTATAGATTAAAAGTACAAGTACACACCTCAAAGTTGAATGAATTGTTTCAAATACGTTTAATCTTTGCTTTCAATAGTTAGTTGCCTATAATATCGTAAAAATGTAATCTTAAGCATATTACTAATTATCTTAATTAATTTCTTAATTACTTATGTAACTTTAATTGTTGATTAAAAGCTTTATTTTAAGTATTCATGTTAATTTAATTTGACTGTCAAAATTTTAACTAAATCAACATTTATGTTTTTATTCAATATCCAATAAATGTCCACTCAGATAAGTAATTGTAAACTTTGTTTTTAAATTTCAAATAATCTATCATATTATTATTATTATTATTATGATAATATTTATGGGTATTGCATATATATGAACCAAATAATATATATTATTAAAATACAAAATTTATAATTCTTACCTTACCAAAAGCTCAGTTGGGCTCAGCTAGCCGTATGAATCTCTTCTTCATTCGCACGCTAGCTTCTTGTCTCCTCTTTTTATGCTCAATTGCTTCTCTTTCTTCACCTGCACGATCTCGACCTTCCTCCACTATGATGCTCTCTCGTCTCTTCTTCTTCTTTGTTGGTAGGCTAGGGTGCTGTACTCTCGCTGCTCCTGCCTCGCTCGACCCTCGACCTCTTCCTCTTTGACAACTCAACAAGGCTCAACGCCGCCACCGCCACCCTCTTCCTTCTCCTTGCTCAACAAAGATGTTGTCGTTCATTGACGTCACTACCTATGGCTACGGGATGCTCTAATTGGCGTCTATCGTTTTTCGCTCTCGCTGTTCGACTTACCAGGTAAGTCGACTCACCTCCACTATCCCCCTACGCATGGATTTATAACCAGAAATATCCCTTTAACTACTTGAACCTGTCACTGCATCTCTCCCTCTTCGACTTAAAACTGTTCATTTTTTCTTCCTCTATTCTTCGTTACTCGACTCATCATTTCTTCTTCTTTTTGGTTTTTCTTGTTTCCTCTTTTCCGGTTAAGAAAATATGATGTTTCACTCCCGCAAGTCGTTGATTCTTGTAACTTCCAAGCCACTTGTCAACCTCTTCGACATCCTTCTATAGGTTGCCGACTCCTTGCACCTCTTGGCAGGCCGTTGACCACTCCCGCACCCTCTAATAGTCTGCAGATATGTACAACTTCCCTCCAAACCCTTCTGGCGGCCACCAACACCTGCTGCTCGCCAACGCTGCAACCCCTACTACTCCACCTTCTACTAGCCACGCGCACTTGCTGCCC